TCTCGTTTTTCTCTCCAGACTTCTTCGAATTCTTATTCGTTTATGTTTATTGTTTCCATTCAAATGTTAAGGACATCCAAGGAAACGTCAGAAAATTTTTTGTACTCTCATGCTTATCCGGCAAAAATGCCAATGCTTATTTAGAATAGTTAACATTAAGAGTACTTGCTTTAGGACCTGGCCCTCACTCACTGTAGTAAAGATTGCCCAATAAAGTTATTTGTCCCTTTTATCCTTGTCACAGATAGAACAGTAAAAATATTCACTTTTGCCTCATTCCAGGTTTTTTTTCAAGACCTGAATTTTTTGCTTAACTGTAAGGAACAGGTCAGCACAGCTGATAGCCAACAGGTGCTAGTAATAGAACCGATAATAGCATTTAGTGTTTTCTTAACAAGAGATTAACAGCCATGTATGTGCAGTACCTGACCTTCTAGATGCATTTTTCGTATAATTTCGACTTCATCAACATGAACGATTGAATAGAATGACATTCCTTTCAGATCTAATGAGCTACAATAGTCCGGTTCACAGAGCATCTCAGCTGCGCTGAAACAAACCCGATACGGTTTACAACAGGACACGAGGGGAAAGAAGAAACAATGACAATTGTGTAATAAAACATTTCTAGTTAGGTCCCATTCCTTTAATCAGAGTGGTTCTTAGGCTTCTTTTAAAGATATTCGACTACTGTACGAATTATTTGTATCCACTACCATTGCAACCAAGAACAAATTGTAAATCTCGACCCGCATGCTGTGGGGGAGAACGCGTTTGTCACCGGAAAGGATAATAGCTCGATCATTCCCCGCCGCGGACGCCTGCGGTCCGGAGTTTTGCAAGTGTCTCAGCATCATTGTGGTTGTAATTCTTGGTTTAACACTTTTTCTGCTTGGTTATGGAAATTTTTGACTAAGTAGATTACACTCAACCTTTCTAGGCTCTGAGAAAGACGAAATCCGCCGTAACGTCAGCCTCATCGTAGTAAAGAATAAAATAACACTGTGTTTGTCCAACAAGAATATAAAAAATTATCTGATTAATGCCGAGGTTAATAGAAAGTCGGTCGTGGGAATAAACTGTATGTTTGATGGAATAAACTTTCTGAATACCTTAATAATCTACTCTCGACTTTTAATTAACGACACAATCCTCTGCTAGATAGAGCTCACTCAACATTTTATAACTCTTGAAGTTATGAGGAGGGAAAGAGGTTGAGGAAAAGAGGAAGATAAAAACAATATCCTCTTGGCATTTCATACACTTTCATCCCGTTGTCGTTATATTCTTGCAGCGCAGCAGCTATGATGTTCAGGCTTAAAGAACACATGAAAGAAAGAGAACAATGAAGTACATAGTAAGCTGCAGTGAAGATCTCTTTGGTTCTTCGTCTTCACCGTAAAACTTCGCAAATGAATTGAAAAACGTCAGAATCTTCTAGGAATTTTCTTCATGATTAAGCTAACACGATGTTGATATAAAACTTTGATAAGAATCTTCCTTACATACCCTCTAGATAAAATGTTACTTTGTTGGTTTATTTTGTCAAAATGCTTCCCTTCCGTCAACTTGCCAGAGAGGGAGAGCCTTCAAAGGATTTTTACTATAGTGGTTTCAGATGACTGAATATTTTCTGGGCAAGCTGGTAATAAGCTGCTTAATAAGGTGATAAATGGTTGACCAGAAGCCTGATTAATAAATTGGCTATGGCAAAATTTCCATTTTTCTATTCTCTTTATTCTTTGAAGTGAAACTAGCTGTGTGAACTGTGTTTGGCCGTTGTCTTATTGTAAAAGTGCTAGTTCTCGAGTGGAATGCCGAATGTAAACGTTTGATTTTATTCGTTGCAAGAAATAAAAGAAACTCCGTTTGGAAATAAAAGTACAGTATAGAGAACTTCATGGCATCGCTAGGAAGGCTTTGTGTAGATGAATTGTCATCAAGTTGGCGATCCATGAATGGAGAAGTTTTTCCTCTTATAAACGAAAGGTCCTCAACACAATGTAGCTTAAGATCTATTAGTTTCAGTCTACATTTTTGTAAACCGTAATGAGTTCCTACAGTACCGATCATGTGGATTTAGAGTGTGGAGATATTACTGTTAAAGGCTGTTGATGACCACGAAAGAAAATAATATGAAGAACTACTTGTAAATCCGAGCAAATCCATAATGTCTTAAAAACCGACTTTCAACAAACCTCTGTAACAATAATCAAGAATTTTTTATATGATTGAGCTGACATCAGAGTGTATAAACTTTTATTTACCTAGCACTTCGGCACTTTCACGTTCCTTAGAGCCACGTTGATCCTTCTCAATAGTCCTAGGCTGGCCGTTGTCGCGACGTAGGTGTTCGTAGTCGCATCAAGTCGAATATATTGAAGCGAGCACTGCTCGAATGGGGAACTTCACTCGAAAATATGAAAGGTGCTTTTTAAAATATTCCCACGCTACGTGTTGGCAAATGAACACCAATAGAAATATGAATCCGTCGCTTTCTTGGTCAGCAATCGCGAGGTTGTTATACAGCATACATTTACTTCCATAGGTTCCATAGAAAATGCAATACAATATGATATAACAGTAGCTGACGTTTCACCAGTATCGCTTTCTTCAGAGCCTGGAAGGGTATGCTGATATACAATTTACTAGGCCAAACGCTTCAATAACACTTCCAGAAAGTCGAAAAACTCTATGGTAATTGCATGATCAACAGCTTCTCGAAACACTCACCGCTTTTATGTGACTTCCAATGAGGAAGGTTGGAACAGCTGAAAACGACGCATTCATACTTCTACGCCGAGGTTAAAAGAAAGTCGATCCTGGGAACTAATAGGAATGCTGCAAAAGGCATTACTGAAGGGGACAGTGTACATCCGTGTCGGTACCCAGCTTCCCGACTACATTATTCTTCCTATTCCAGCGTATTGGAAGCTTGAGCTCCACCCAAGCAGGATGAAAAATCATTCAACGCTATATAAGGCATAGTTAATAGGACAATATTGGAAGTATCCTACATGACACAAGGAAAGGGATTTCGAAGTTTCGATTTGTTTCAATGAGCAAAGATCAGAAATGTCGTTAGGCACTCCATAGTGTCTTAAATCATGTAGGTCGGGCACTTAATGCGTATGTACGACAACGAATGGACAGCAGCTGTTAGGACTGGACGCCTCAACATGGCAAACGCACAGCAGGAACACTAAAATGGTTCACGGGCACTCTAGAAGAAAGATGTGATGCCCAGCTACTTTCCAGAAAGAGCAAAGTCTGCGCTGCTCTTGCGCACAATGTGCGAATTTAACGTGGCTCTGAAGAAGGAGAAGGCATCGAGACTTCAGCCGAATAAAAGTTTTTATTTTTTTTCTTTTTCGTCTTAGGTGCCAAAAAATGAAGTACCGACTGCTAAAGGAAGCATTTCCTGCCGAAAGTAGATCATATTGGAGGCGGCAATCGACCAACATCCATCCTATACGAAAGGGCACCGATTAGTGCTCCCTGCACTGAACTCGATACGATGAGATACGAATACCCATAGCGCGCCGAAGACCAGCTGTGGATCACTGATTTGGATCAACGCTGCTCTGAGTAAGGCGAAGGTGCCGAAACACTAGTCGGACAAAATTTTTATACCAACCTCTTGTCGGCTCAATGTTATAGAAAATTATGAAATTCATAATAATTGTCTGGTAAAGAGCCAAGCAATTCCAAACAATCTGGAAGGTTGCACGGCTCTTTTTGAGAAGAAAAAAGTGGCTGATACGTTTCGGACTTCCTCACCTCGGATCGACACGAATGATGGAAAGATCTACGGCTGTGGTGATAACGATGGAGCTAGCACGAATTGAAATCGACGAAAGGATCGGTGACGGAAGAGATGAACACACAACCAGTCGACAACCGTTGCAGAACGTCATGTCCATACGGAGCACCTGCAGTGTTTTTCAAAGAAGCTTTGTTTCAGTTGAAAATGCTTCGAGAATTTCCAGAAAAGAACTTATGCTCGCTTATAAATAGTGTTTATAAGAAATGCTAAAGCCCGCTGATGACATGTGAACAATTCTGCCTCTTTACATGGAAAGACTGAAATAATTACCCTCTTCGTTTCCAACTTGTTCAGTTGGACTTTTCTACCACCAAATTCTCACTGGAGTAGTTCTCCTGGAAACTGTGGTGTTGACTTTCCTCGTAGACACATTTATTTGTTATATCTCAGCAATATCTTAGTTGTATTTTACATCATACCCTGCCATTAAAAATTATAGTAGGCAGTAAATAAGAAGAAAGTTAAGATTGTGATTTCGACTTCAACCTCATCTTAACTAGGTTCGTTGCCGATTTTGGCTCCCCAGATCAATCCCGTTGACGGGTGATTGCTGATGGCGCCAATCAATAGAACTAGCTGAGAAACAGGCGAAACGAAGGACCCGCATGGTGTGGTGGTCAACGCGTTACTCCCCGGAAAGGATAACAGCGTGTTCGTTCCCCACCGCAGACACCTGCGGCCCGGAATTTTGCCAATAACTCAGCATTATTTCAGTTCTATTTCACATTTATTTGTGTCTAACAGTGTGCTTTAGAAAGATGTATTGCTTTTTCATATATTTTTAGTACGGGTCACGTGAACGTAGTGGCTAGATTATCTTGTTTATTGCCGAATCACAAGCTTTCGCCGAGAAGCGATCGATTCCTATAAACCCTGTCTATCGTCATGAGTCATTGTCCTATAAGCCTATAAGTAGCTGTCCTATAAGTAGCTGTCCTATAAGCAGGGGAGAGCGCCTACAGCACAATGGTTAGAGGTGCCCTACAATACACAAACAGCCTCTGGTTCATTCCTGCGCCGTGTGTCCGCCAAATTCCCCGTCCTTCCTTAGTTCTGGTTCGTTCCTGCGCATTAATTGACAGATCAGTAGGCCACCGCAACTCAGCGTTTAGGTCGCATGTGTAATCATTCACCTTCATGGTGCCTCGAATGGAATCCAGTTCATGGGGCATCATTAAGCGATTGGTGAACACCCAACGTTTTGTCGTTTATCACATCGTTCACGTCCCAGAAAAGTAACACTAGGAGTTCTGGTAAGAAATATGAATAATGCACTTACCTTAAAACCTGGTGAAGCCCTTAGAGAATCCTTCTTATTTGATCTCTTTGTTAGTGACGATTTCACACGAACGCTGCACATTTGCGACCACTCACAAGATGAACAGAAAACCTTTAAAAATCAAAGAAAGACCAATAAAAGTTAAGATAATAAGGTGGTAGTGACGAAAGATCGATGCATTTTTCTATTGCTAAATTTTGAGGATAAGTAGCGTAGTGGTAATGATGCCGCTCATCACCAGCACAGGCTTGGTTCGACTTCGATCAGTGCCCACCAAGCCTCTCATCTCTCCGGAGTCGAGAAATTGGTACTGGAGAGGTCTAGCAGAATCATAACCTCTGTAACTCAGGTGGGAATGTTCTATCCCGGCTATCCTACAGCTTCAGGGAGAATCGAGGCGACGAGCATTCAACGATATAAGGAAGGCGTCAATTCACAAGCAACAAACAAACGCTCTCGCGAAACGCTGGAAAACCTTAGTGGGGTGGGTGATGAAGTCAAGGAAACGAATCGAAAACAAGAACTGCGCGATTCCGCCCAGTAAATGTGAAGACGAGTTATGTAAAATCAAAAAAATTCAAATTTTCACAGCTTCACCAACTGTTTGCAGAAAATGTGAGGATAAGCCTAAAGCCGGGTTTATCGGAGGTTTCGTGAGCCTCATCTGACCAGTAGAAGAATGAGGCTTTTACCGTAAGAATGAGTGCAAGAAAGGTCATCGTTGCGCATTGTTCAACCTCAGTTACCGAGCGCTTTCTTTTGTTTTCCTCTATTCGGCATCCACCGAACCAAATTTTAGTTTAATACTTAATATCACGGTTGGTTATCAGGAAACGGATGTCAAAGTGTCTTATGCTTCATTTACTCTTCATCTCAATGAGGTGCTTTCCATAGATTTGGAGCCGTAGTGCAGAATATGAGGCTCATCCTACAATCAAAGTTTTCATCTATTTATAGCGGATATAGACAACGCTCAACTCAATGCGCCTATTCAGTGAGCGCCAATTATTCTTAAAAAAGAACACCTTCTTGGATCGACAGGATCGTCGACTGTTTGCGGCGATCTTGAGAACTCGCTGACACCTCTTTTCAAGAGGTTCAGAGAGAAAAAAATCCTGTCAACTAGAACTGCCGCTTTGTACAGAGTTTCGTGTGGTTCACCTGGTGAAATGATAGAACAAACACTAAGGAACCATTCAATTTTTGATGATTACGACATTGATAGCTCTGGATTACAATAGTGTACAATATGAAAGCCGTCTCCTGTTGTTTACACACATCACGGTCTTCTCAGGAGTCAGAGTTTTTGAACTACTTGAAGCCGATGATCGCATGGAGTTTAATGTGGTTGTCGGTCAAAACATCAAGAAGGGGCACGGGAAAAAGCATAACCCGCATGCATGAATTTAGCAACCAATGAGAGAGCTGCATAATCCAAAGAGAGGGGAAAACCCCGTCATTTCGGTGTCACTTATTTAGGCTCAAAAAATCTCGTTACCCTTTATAGCCATTGATCATTTAAAATCTAACATAAAATATACGACTACATTTGATAAGGAAAAGTTATAGGCACTTTCAATTGAACCGAGAACAACTCAACAACGCAGAGCCAACTCCTTCTACAACTTGGTCTTCAGAGATTTCAGCGGCTGAACATATTATTGCAATAACAATTCAATTGAAAGTTCCAATTCATAAAAAAGGCTCATATTCAAAGGATATAAGGAAGGCGACCGATGATTCAAGCACTGACTCAATCTTTTTTTCTCAACTTCTAACTTGAACTCGCAAAAAAAACGAGTTTCAAAACCAAATAGTTATTCTAGCACGGTTCCTTTCCTATGTGAAGGTAACCCTAGAGATCCTTGAACCTATTGTCTGATTGAATTGATCTGTGTGCACTACAGAGCCAGATTATTTTTTCGCATATACGAAGTCTAGATAAGGAGTAGCGACTCAGCCAGCTTCAATACTCGTACGAATCTGAGTACAGCGCATGCAAACCACACATGACTCCTCCATGAATGTCGTAACACCTGTTCTCTAGACTCTGATCTTCGTCGGCTATCAAAAAGCACTCGTTCGACTTTTTCATATATCGTTGAAATAGTCACTGTAACCGAAGATATCATGTCTTTAGGAACAAGAATTTAGTTACAAGTGACATTCAATAGCTACACTGCATTCGAGGAAAGATAGGAAAGACTGAAAATTCATCGGAAGAGGACTGAAAAAACGAATGGAAATTATTGGCCTTCTTATCACAAAGACCTGTATGAACTTAGAGCCTTGGACGAACATGGAGGCTGAATTCAATTGGGATCTCATGAAGGAAAAAACTTAGCGATTTTTTCCGGCCATGGCTTTGATAGAAGAAAAGTTTTTAGGATATTACAGCCCTGTTTGAGACTGCCTTGAGAAGTGAAGAACAACCACAATAGGTGAAGAGATCTTGTTTGAGCTGTTGACCACCTGATCCGAAGCTCCAATCTGCGTCAACGATCAAAAATCAAAGATGCTGTTCTGTACGCACAAGAGTCGATGATAAGGTGGTCCGGACACGTAATACGCATGAATAACAACCGATGGACAAGAGCGGTTAGTGGCTGGATTCCTCGGAATGTTAAACGTACTGCAGGAAGACCACCAACCCGATGGTCACAGTTATTCAAAAGGAGCCTTGAAAAATGATGTAATGCTCGACGAGCCCCTAGAGCGGGCAGAACCCACTGGGCTACTTTTGCACGCGACAAGGAAAAATGGAAGATTTACTGGCGCCCGCTCGATCCACTCGGCGATCAACGGGACTTCAGGTGATACAGGTGACCACCATTTTATCAACATCGGGTCAAGCCACGCTATGTCGATCATCTAAAAGCATCCTATCTACATAAACGACTAGAGTGTACTCCTACGGCCATATGTTGACGATGTGAGGAAGGCAGTGGACAACATACGAGTTTGTCCGTGATTTTTACAACTAGAGTAGGCCAATATCCTTAACACACTCTTTCAGAAATATTTGCGTTACCGTATGAGTGTTTACTGTGGTGAAGAATTTTTTAAGCATTGACTTTTTTTTAATAAGAAAATGACAGACTAACCGAATAGAACTGTTGCCAGTCTTCTGGATGAATGTATTCTGTTATCGAATTTCCCGTCATCTCCACCTAGAGTATTCATAAGCTTGCTATCACTTCATAACGATAAAACTGATGACAACAATTTCTGTTAAGCGGTATTTTCAACAGCTTTTTTTTTAACAAGTGAGGACCATCGACTCGGATCATCGGCTCTGAGGAGGACGAAGACGTCGAAACGTTAGCCGAAAATAAATATCATTATCAACCTCGTGTAAGCTCGTCAAAGAAAGAATACATAAAGATTTTGTCTTCTAACTGAAGAAGTTATCAATATTAATGGAGGATGAAGTGTTCGGTGAATTCTATTCTCCTCGCTTTTCTTCGTGTTGTCCTCTTCCTTCGCGTTTTTCCTCTTTCTCTTCAACTTTCTTTCTTTCCTGCTTTTAATATTAGCCTTATCAAACTTTTTTCCCGATGAGCTCTATTTCCTTCAGAAACACGAAGAGCTCACTTTTTTCTCCGAAATCCATCATTTGTACCATTTTTGTCTGAAGGTCTTAAAGGCTAATTCAGCGGTCGTATAGGAATAAAAGCGTAGTAAATCCAGGCGCAAGTTCTAACGATCTGTTATGAGTGCTGATACATCCAGGCGCGACCACGTACGACTTCTCTGCATCAACCAATAACATCCAATCAAATAGCTTCTTTAGAATAATACAAAATTTTTTAGTATGAGATTTACTCTTACTCTCCACTGATCATATAAGAATCTTATGCGCATACTGAGAACAGCATAAGAAGAACGGGAACGAATATGTTCTATGGCCTTTTAGCTGTTTGCTCGCCATTTAAAAATTGTTTAGGCACATCAACCTCGACAAAGAAGTTGAATAACAGCAGCAATATGTCACCTGTGATAATCCGAGATAAATACTGATGGTCTCACTGACATATAGCACATCAGCCTGTGAATCCAACACCATCAGAAAGCAATCCATGAGCTGAACGGTCCATTATTGAGGTGAAACACTTATAAGATTATTGTATGCCTACCTCTAGAAGACTATTTGTCCAACAGCGATCATAATCTGAAACCTTATCATCGAGGGTTTAGTATAAATAATAAAATCATTGAAACATTCTAGTAACTAAGATGATGCTGAGATATTTGCAAAACTCTGGACCACAGGTGTCTGCGGTGGGGAATAAACGCGCTATTACTTTTTCCAGGGCTGACTCGTTCACCACTGCACCATACGGGTCCTTCGCTTAACCTTTCTCTCAACTAGTTATCCATCTACCAGTGCCATTAGCAATCCCGTCAATGACAGGGTTCTATAGCGTGATATGGTTTAGGATAGGTGATAGGACATTTCCTCTTAGAACAGACGATATAACTAATGTTATTTGTTGTACCGACTAATATTTTCGTATTTAGAAAAGTTAGTCCATCATTTTATTCTTGACTGTAAAGGTATTTAATGGTTTGAATCACATCTCATCCTATCCTTTAAGAGCCTGATGAGCCCACTTTAGAGAGACATTTACTAATGCATATCTTAATAAGTAAACTAACCCATATTTGTGAGCAGGAAATAGCGCTCAACTTACCCAAATAAACGACGACTTCTGGAGTATCGTTATACGGTAGAGAAAAATGGTTCATTGGAGGCTAAGGCTTGTGTAGATCAATAAACAAATCGATTAGGCATGAAAGGTGCTCACCATTTGCGCCACATTCTGTACTTCGAATCGATCTGTGTAGTTTGATGTAAGACAGAGCGAGACGTACCATTGTCGTCTGTAATTCTTTAGATCTACAGCAGCGATTGTGTGTTCTACTAGTGTCTTCAAAGTGGGGGTCAACAAGGCAGGGCAATAAGAAAGAATTTGCTCTATTCCGTTTCTAATGATCGGAAAGGTCTACAGTAGGCCAGGTTATCTCGTCGGCGACATATCGTCTGACATCAATATATATTTTTCCTAGAAGTTTAGAGTAACCGTTTCTAAGGCTAATAATGCATAATGATACCCAACTGATCCCAGCAAAGCTTAGAAGTGAAGCTAAAGTGCCTTCTTTGAAAAGGGGAATCTAGCGATCACTTTTGGTATCCTCAGTTAGCTTTATCTCAGAACTTCATGGAAGATTCTTCTGAGTAGCACAACTTTGCTAGTACGACTTGGCTGAGGTTTAGGTCAGTGCAAACCACGTACGTTTTCGACACACTTTTTTGTGTGCAACTGCAAAGAATATAAGCTTGGACCCGAAAAATCCATCACTTCCTTAGAAAAGAGAATGAACTGTCTGACAAGAAGGATTTACTTTGTCGATATGTTGTCCAGTGATTGCTCTGGCTAGTGGCAATTCTTTGGCCAAGTTTGAGAACTCGCCATTTTCCAATAGCCTTCGATGCTGAGCTAAAGTTCCACTAGAGCCACAAAGCACTGAAAGAGAAGGAGAAAGTGCTTTCATAACTAATAGCACAGAAACAGGGCAGTTGATCGCGGAAAAAAGGATTTATTTAAGAAGAACTCACTTGCGGTTAGGGTTTTGATGGTGAGTGTGTTCAACATATTGCATGCAAGAGAACAAGCTACCATAGTCATCGTCAATTAAATTACACCAATGTGAAGGAAATTTGAGAGTATAATTGGGCACAGGACGTGCATTGAATTCAAACCAGAGCTGATGACCTAATTAGATTGGTTCTATCAAAAATTCTTAAATGAAAAAAGGATCACACCGAGTGAGAAATACTTCGCAAGATCATGGTAACATGCTAACGTTATCCACACAAAAAAGTCGTGGTATTCATCGATTGTGAGAGCTCAGTCTTTACGTCTAGGCGTCAATCTCATTTTGTAGACTATGCTTATCATCTCCAGTGAATCGTGAGAAGATGAAGTGAGATGGTAGCAATAGAAAGATAATCCTCTACAGATTTGGTTACCTGTCTAAGTGCATGCATATACCAACGCCGGACTCCTTAAGTAAAAGTGCTTGAGCTTTGTTGAAAAAACTTTCACTTTAAAACACATTCATTGATCAGCTTTTACCTGTTTTAGCAATCACCGTGTGTGCCATGAAGAATTTGTAGTAGATTTCCAATCGTAAATTTTCAATATGATGTTCGTAACACTTTACACGAACAGATGCCCTTTGTTTTCACTAAAGCCCTATATTTAAAGTCGCTAATGGCAGAAGAAGGTCGAGAACTTCACTTACGTTCAACATCTAATTGTACACAACGAAATTTTTCAAGAAAAGTTACATGGGCCGATTGTTAACACTTTCATAGGCCGTTAATGTTTTGGGTTGTATGCGCTGCCGACGTCTGAGTTTGAATTCTTAGATGTGAATTTGTCGGAACTGCTAAACCGTTAGAAAAAACTACCGCTAAAGCATTAGCATAAGTAGTAGTAGAACTGTAAATCGGACATTGATTTCGAACTAACCTAATAAAACGAGCAAGCACATCTGGTTAGTGATCAGGTTAGTGAAAAGTACAAATTCGAAAATTAACTTCGAGACGCTTAGATGGAGCCGTGGTAATGCACCTGTTCAACAAAGGACCTTGACCCGATCCTACTCTGCCAACAACCTTTCCTGCATTCTTTTTGAGGCCAAAAAATTGATATGCTACCATTGCTTTTTCCAGTCCATAAGAGCTGGTGACTACTTGTAACGAGGATATGAAGACGTGGAAATGCGTTAGCACCGCTACTTGAGAGTTCCAAAGAGAATCATATACGACTCTAACCAGCCCTTCTTCCTCAGTGAATGGCACGTAAAAATTTGTGGGTTTTTGAGAAACTTTTGAGCATATGATTTGCACTTAGATTTCCATCTTTATGGTTGTGTTACTGAAGCGTTTAGCATAGCATCAGTATACTCTGTCTGGCTCTGAAGAAGGTCATACTGCTAAAACGTCAGCTACCGCTGTGCTGTATGTGTTTTTGTACGGAAGTTAACGTGTCCTGTATAGCAACCTCACGACTGCTGAAAAAGAATACGACATATTCCAAAGAGAGCTGCTTCCATCAGCAGCGCTTCTCGTCTTCCTTAATCCTCTCCGTAAGGTTAATCGCTGTGAGCTAAGAGGAAGAAAAAGACAACTGATGTCGTAAAGAATCTCTAGTTGCGACAAGTGCGAAAATCTAACTAGATAAATAGAAATACGACCAATTTTTTTCCATCAACATAAATATTGCAACAAGGGATGACATTCCAAAATGAATTAAACGCTTCTATTATGTCCTTGAAAAGTAGATAAGACGTGCAACATGATAAACGGTTTTGGGCATTTCTAAGATTCCACCGTATTTGCATGGGAATTAGGCACTTCTACATTTTTCTTCCAACCTAAACCACCGAGAAGGAAATGCAGCATGATGCGATGCAACTCGTCCATTTTGTCACTCTTTCCACGTATGCATGGCATAGAGTGCATCTCCAACTTTATGTATTAATAAGTAACTTATAAACCAAAGCTGCGTCTTATCTTGGTCCTAATTACTTCCTTATTTGATTAAAGCTAATCGTTGAAAAACCATGCAAGGCAATACAGCAAGAAAGCCTAAAACGTTCCTATGGGAAGTAGAGCCTTCCCTTGCATATGTGAAGTTGGTTTCACCAATGAAGTAAGCCCCGCTGTTACCCTTTGAACGAGTTCGCATTGAATGGGGAACACTTGTGCATGATGTACACTTATTGATTTGTTCTTAAGTGAGCCGTCATCACATCTACAATGGAGATTTTAGCACTTCTTGCATTCGATTCGTTTTCCTCGCATTCATCGTTCACGGTACTTTTTGAACATTTTGGGTGCTCTTTCACTTCTGCTTGAGGATTTCACCCTCTCTATTAATGTTGTAGAATTATGGTCGAGGCGATTCTTCATGCAATTTTGGAGATAGCCGAACTAAGGCGCTACCATGCAGATTGGATGAGAGCATTGAGGGGAGTCGAACCAGCACCTTACTCCTTGATGGACTGCATCATCAAATACTGTGACATCCGCTTCCAGTGACACTGACACAACATAAAGAGTCACAAATATTTGAGAAGGTGGTAATCGAGCCATGAACGTTGTAAGACTTTCAAGATGCCAATTAAATTCTAGAGATGCCCGCATATTTCGGAAAAAACGGCGAACAGAACTGTTTACATTAAAAGCATGAAGTATGAAGCTTCCGGTGCTCATCAACCTTTAAACGACGCATCATGGAATCAAACTCATCAGGCAATGTAGATGAGTGAGTGAGTGAGAGTGCAGACCTAGTGTGAATGAGAAAAACTGAGTGCAAACCTAGGGTTGAAAATGATTTTCGATTGCTTAACGATGTCAATGTCAATGCTGCTTATCCCGCTGGACAATTCTTGTAACAGTTTGCTACCCTCTGATATGCGGAAGGCTTGCCGGGGTGCTGAAATAAACCAACGGCCACATATATGGCGTAGAGCACTTTTAAGCATTGCGCTGGACGTGGAGACAGGATTGTTCCGAAAAATGGTAGAATGCGAAGTGCTCGTTTTAAACATGAATGCTGCACGGTCCAAATTCTCTTAAATGTTCCATGGTCCCTCAACAACGATGCTTTTAAGCTCATCAGCTTATGCAGAAAATGATTTCTATTCTTAAACGAGACGAATTGCAACACGATAACAAAAGTGCATCGATACTTTTGAGACGATTTGGAAGAGGACAGTTGAAAAAAGAAAGAAATGTGAGAGAACATAGAATGAAAGCAAGACGAAGAAGCCCTGTATCAATTGGAAGACGCAATTTTCTGGCTTTATTGAAATTTCGCACACTCCACCAACCTAAGAATGGAGCTACAGCCTGGGAATTCGCGAAACGGCTTTGAGTTTTTAGAATCTAGACTCTTGTTCGGTGTTTGGCCGCAGTATGGCCACAGCTCACTGACTCAGAAGTTATGAATTTATTACTTAGCGTTGGGTGATGGGTCGAACCGACAACCATGTGTGTACTGAAAGTACTTCTCACCACTGAGGTACATACGTTCTTTCAGATTCTAGGACGCAGTAAAGGTTAGGGGAGCGCGGTGATCAACATCCGTGCCAAATATCAGAAGATAATCGTCTCGCTATTTTTGAAGCCCGTTTTCAGCAGCATTCGAAGCCTTTGCACTTTTGCTTTTTGAGGGTCAGGATTGGGTTCCGTCACAAATAGAGTTATCAAATAAAGTGTCGCCCGCGTTGGGGAAAATTTGTCAGATTAACCAAAGGACTTAAAAATACGAATTACAGTATTAGTGCCAATTTATGAGAGAAATTATTTTCATATTATTCATACTTCATCTTCCGTAAGGACCAATAGTCTGATAACTTGCTTATTATATAGTTTCTCAAAACTTATATGTTAAAAGTGGAATATTACTTCTATATAGCTGAAGTAGCTATAGTCTATATAGCTACAGCTTCTATAGTTATATCCATAAAAACGTGAGGAGACCACCAGATAGATGTTGTTGCCTCAGATCATTGTAGTCTCAATAAAACTCGTCCGCAACCTTTTCTATAAACCCCGTGCGTGATGTTGTTTACTGACAAACGGCTGGCGACAAGTTTACATTGTTGCCTGGACTATGCTAAAGGAAGAATTTCTAGATGAACTTTCTGGTATTCTTGGCTGGGCGTTTCTCCGGTAGGCCACGTACTATTGGAAAAACAGCGATGCTTCTTCTATAATCATACCGACAGACATTACCTTTTGTTCTTAAACTTCGAAATTTTTACTAGGTTTCCGTTCACAGGTGAAAAAGTGGAAGTAAATATGAAAGCTGAAAGCGCTAAGCTGTATTATTTATATAAACCAACACTTCTACAAAATGATCAAAGAGCTCTTATTGAAAGACCTCCTTCTGCTTATTCTTTTTCTGTTTATACTTGGAGTAGCCAGCTCTAAGTGCGGATCGAGGCCCGAATGGAAAACGCCATCTGTTTTCGCTTACACCATGCATAACTGACATTTTTCTTCGTAGCTTCCAAAATTAAATGGAGTGACTAATCTTCTAGGCTGTTTCTGACATCGAACGACCCATTACCCCGGAAGTCGTCAACGGCAAGCAAGCAATGGTGATTTTCTTGAAAAAACCCATCCTCTCCTGTCACTTCTTTACTTTCACTGCGAAATTTGGTTGACTGGATCTTTTATGTCGCCATCTATCGGTGTCAGTCTTCGAAAAGTCTTATTTGTAAGGCAACAAACTTTTCTCCGATCCACAACAGGCAGTGACTGCATGTCTTCGTGACATGACTAGCGAACATCTTTGTGCTGGAATATCGAGATTTCAGAAGTGATCTGGTCCAACCAGCTTTCAGAACATCAGTAAGTAGGGAAGATAACAACACTTTAAGCTTCGGCCGACCTCATGTACGAGAGTGATAACCTCTCTGGATGACGACTAGAGGAAAACTACTCAAATGTAGGAGTGCTGCGAGCTACACGA